GGATTAGGAGCGCAGCCCCGAGCCGCTGCAATGGTTTAAGGCCCTCGGCATCCTTGCGGGCTCGCCGGATTCAAGCCGTGCCAGCCCACGGCACGAGCCCTCCACGGTACGAATCCACACCCGGATCATCGCATGTTTTGCCCAGATCTGCTTCCTGCCACAGCTCCCCTGTTGCCCCCCAGCAAACCCCAAGAGGGCAGGAACACCCAAAAGTCTGCGCTGGCATCTTTAGAGCTTAAAAAAAAAAAAAGAAATCAAGAAATCCTCTCGCTACAATAACCCTCCAACTACAAAAAGGTCGTTTTGTCACTTTTGTCCCCCTGTGCTGTCGGGAGGGAGCAGATGAGATGGCGAACAACCTGCAGCCGCAGGGACAGAAGCGGGCAGCACGACTCCTGATGGCTGAACTCTGCCTAGAGCGAGAAACGCGTGCCAACAGCAACGCAGCGGGGCTGCTTCTGCCCCCGAAAGCTGCCCCGGGCAGAGGGAAGTTGGGAATACTTATTTGGGGTTGAGGATTTTATCTCCGAAATCTTGCAGCCCAATCCCCTCACGTTGCAAGCTGATCCCTGGATAGCAGGGAAATTACGGATTGCCATTTTAAATGGGACCTTCGAGATAACCCAGAGCATTTTAACCACCGGGTATGGCCTCCCTGCAATGCCCAGAGTCGATCCTACTTGTGTCCCAGCCTGGACACAAACTTCCTACATCCCTATCCCATAGCACCAGGCATCGGGAAAGGCGAGAACCACAGCCACCCTCCTAGCCAGGCTCTAAAAATACATCCTAAAGATTAAAAGTCACCCAACAATCCTGTGTGGGACCGAGTCTGCTTAACACTGGCATGGTGTGAAATGTCCCTTTTAAAGCATAATCCCACCTTCCCTGGCTGGAAGGGGGTGAAATGAGGTTGATCCTGGAGAAAGCTGGTTAGAGGCAGCTCTTTCCTGACCCTCAGCTTCACCCCCAGGGTGTCGGTGCTGCATGGAGGGATCCCAGAGCCCACCCCTGACCCTCAGGAGCAGGGGAGGATGCTCTGAAGCAAAGCACCGAAGCAGGACAACAGCTCCCAGGTGAGGGGACAGCTCGCTGGTGCTCTGGCCTGGCGCATTCTCCTCACAGGGGTGTCCCTCGCCACGACGGAGCAGAAGGCAGTGTGACTTGCTGCACCGGGGTCCTGCCCACGCACCCAGCACTGGGAGGGGGGGGGAAAAGGAGCAGCAGAGCTGAGCAAAAGTCCCAGCAGCAGAGCCAGGGACGCCCAGTGAGGCAAATTCAACACGAGGCGCCTGATGAAGGCTGCTGCACAGACCCTCGGGCACGTTTTCAAGCTGAGATGAGCAGAGCCAACAAAACCGGCTCCACTTGCACAGAATGTCTGCAAAACCTCTCCTCGCTGCACTGCCTGGAGGGAGCCGGGGGGAGGTCACCCTTTGGACCACCAGGACATGTTTCCCTGGAGCCTCCTGGGACCAAAGAAGGAAGACGTGGAGCATCACCATGAAGACTTTCTTTTTTGACTCAAGGGATCGCTCCCTGAGCGAGACCCGCTCTATGGGTGTAACAGGAGAAGGCTACAGACAAGAGGATGGTCGGGAAACAAACCCAAACCCAACAGCATCACGCAACCAAGGCCTCTTCCAGCAAAACCTGCCAGAAAGAGATTTAACAATGCCCCCATCACCCTCCCCGCTCTTCAGGCTTCATCACGTGGGCCAAATTCCTGCTACGAAGAGGAACCGCCCAGGCCGAGCGACGGTCGTGGCATCCCATCCACCCCAGGGCTATTTCTGCCATCGAGCGTACACCAGGAACACCACAGCTGAGATCACAGCGATGCCCACAGCCGGAATGATGTATGGCAGGGACGGGCCATGGCTGTCCCCTGGGGGGACTTTGGCCTGAGATGAGCTGGTCGCAGTGCCATGACCCCTACTTGAGTCAAAAACCGGAGGGTTTCCCAGGGGACCGGCTCCATCTTGGAGGTCACTGCCTGCCTCGAGCTGGGTGCTGGGGTAATGGGCCACGCGGACCTCGTGGGTGCCCAGGGAGGTGCTGTCCCAGCTCGGAGGTGGACGGGACTCTCTGCTTGCTCCCGCTGCCTCCCCTTCCCCAGGGTCTGCACGACCTGCTGGAGCCGGGCATCCCAAGGAGACTCTGGAGAGAGCTTCTCCGGAGCTCGAGCTATCCGTGCTCACCAAGAGCAGGTCGCTGCTGAAGGTGAGGCTATCGGACACCTCGGAATAGGGGCCGCTGGGGCATCTGCTGGCCACCTCTGGGCTCTCCCTAGCCATGGAGAGGAGAACACCCGGCTTGCTGAGCTCCACATCCCTCTCCACGTTGCTGCAAGATACCCAGATGCTCGTGCCGGAGCTCACCTGGGATGCTGTCCTCCTAGACGTGCCTTCAAATCTTCCTGTAGCAGTTGGAAGAGGGTCCACCGAGGCCGGGAGCACCTTTGGGAGACAATGAGAGGGACTGGGTGCCACAGGGAGCACCCATTTGGCCTGGTCTCAGGCACCCACGTCACGCACAAGCCCACTTCAGCGCCGAACCACCACATCTTCAACCACTAACAGCGAGGTTGGGTCACAGGTAACTCCCAGGGCTGGGAAACTGAGCGGGACAGGGAGGTGTTGGGGCTCCGGGGGACCTTTGGGATTTGGGGGAGATATGGGAAGGAAGGAAAGGGAGACAAGCAGCAAGGAGAGGGGTGCCAAGAGGCAGCTGGAAGCCAGAAGGCTGACTGGCAAGTCAAGGAGTGGAAATAAGGAGTCACAGCCCAACAAACCTTGGCTCCCTTTTCCCACACTCCAAAATACAGCATCCAGACGGGAGCGTGAAGACAGTGGGGAAAAAAAAGCCCTGAATAAACTCGCTACCAGCTCAAAATCTTACACTGCAGCAGAAAGTCTCTCAACCAGGGGGAGTTCACAAGGAGCTGAACGAAATGCAAGCGGTGAGGGGGAAGGTCACCTACTTTCTGCTTCGTCAGCACGGAGGGGGTGCTGCTGGCCGCCTCCCCCGCGGGTGGTTTTTCCTCTTGTACCGGAGGCTTCAGGGAGGCGTCGCGGGATGGGGAAGCGTCTCTGGGCGCAGGGGTAGCGACGGGGGTGGTTGTTTCCAGCCGAGTGTCTGTGGAGGAGAAAAAAACGTTATCAGGTTAATCAGGAGTCCTAAAAGAGCTTCGTTCTTCCGCCAGGATGCTGCAACAGGATACTCCCAGCGCTGAGGAAGTGGGACAGGGAGGGGATCCAGCACCACCGGGCGCTGCCCGTGCAGCGGCACCCGAGCTCTCCC